ATTTTTCTGTCTTTCCCTCTCTCTAAAAATCAATGGACAAATGTCCTTGGGTGAGGATTAAAATATATATATATATATATTCCATTGATTTTTGGATGTTAATTTTTGTATTCTGCTACATTGCCAAATTAACTTATTAAATCTAGTAGTTTTTTAGTGGAGTCTTTAGGGTTTTCTATGTACAATAGCACGTAATCTGAGAATAATGAAAGTTTTACTTCCTCCTTTCCAATATGGATGCCTTTATTTCTACTTGTCTAATTGCTGTGCCTAGGACTTTGAATTTGTGCACAGGGCCTCTAGTTGTTTAATAACATGCTATTTAGCCTTCATGTGTTTGAATGTTTTTAAGTGCTTTTGCTGTAGTTGATTTCTAATTTTAGTCCATTGTGATCTGAGAAGATGCTTGATATGATTTAGTCTTCTTGAACTTGTAGAGACTTGTTTTGTGTCCCAACATGTGGTCTATCTTTGTGAATGGCTCATGTGCACTTGAGAAGAAAGTATATTTTGCAGCTTTGGGGTGAAATGTTCTAAAAATGTTCATTAAATCCACTGATCCAGTGTGTCATTTAGAGTCACTGTTTCCTTGTTAAGTTTTTGTCTGGCAGATCTATCCAGTGAAGTCAGCAGGGTATTAAAGTCCCCTACTGTGACTGTATGTATTGTTGTTGATCTCTCTCTTAACTTCCTCTAGAAGTTTATATATATATATTTAGGTGCTCCTATAGTGGTTAAAAATGTGTTTACCTCAAAAAGCCATGTACAAGAGGAAGTATTCCGCCCCTAAATACAGGATTGAAAAGAAAAAGAAGGAGAAAGTCCTTGCTACTGTCACAAAACCAGTTGGTGGTGACAAGAATGGTGGTACCCGAGTGGTTAAACTCCGCAAAATGCCTCGATATTATCCTACTGAAGATGTGCCTCGAAAGCTGCAGAGCCATGGCAAGAAGCCCTTCAGCCAGCATGTGAGGAGATTGCGGGCCAGCATCACTCCTGGGACCGTCCTGATCATCCTCACTGGGCGCCACAGAGGCAAGAGGGTGGTTTTCCTGAAGCAGCTGACAGAGGCTTGCTACTTGTGACTGGCCCTCTGGCCCTCAATCGAGTTCCTCTTCGTAGAACACACCAGAAATCTGTCATCGCCACCTCCACCAAAGTTGATATCAGTGGTGTGAAAATCCCCAAACATCTCACTGATGCTTTCTTCAAGAAGAAGAAGCTGCGCAAGCCCAAACACCAGGAGGGTGAGATCTTCGACACAGAGAAGGAGAAATACGAGATTACAGAACAGCGCAAGGTTGACCAGAAAGCTGTGGACTCTCAAATTCTGCCAAAAATCAAAGCTGTCCCTCAGCTCCAGGGCTACCTCTGCTCCACATTCGCTCTCACCAATGGGCTTTATCCTCACAAACCGGTGTTCTGAATTTCTTATTAGAACCCAATTAAATAACTGAAATGTTAAAAAAAAAAAAATGCGTTTACCAGTGTTACTCCTCCTGTTGGTAGATCCCTTTAGTATTATGTAGTGACTTTTGTTGTCTCTTGTGATGGCCTTCATCTTGAAGTCTATTTTCTCAGATATGAGTCTTGCTACCAATCTTTTTTTTTTTTTCATTTGCATGGAAAATGTTTTTCCATCCCTTCATTCTCATCCATTGTAGCTCTTTTGTTCTAAGGTGGGTCTCTTGTACCCAGCATATAGTTGGGTCATGTTTTTGTATCCATGCAACTACCCTATGTCTTTTGTTTGGAGCATTTAAACTATTTACAGTTAAGATTATTATTGACTAGAGGCCCAGCACGAAATTTCTGCACTGAGGGGGATCCCCTCAGTCCGGGTGCGCCCTCTCACAGTCCAAGAGTGCTCAGGGAATGTCTGACTAAAGGCTTAAGCCTGGAGGGAGCAGGCCTAAGCCATCAGTCAGACATCCTTAGTGCTGCTGTGGAGGCAGGAGAAGCTCCTGCTACCACTCCTGCACTCACCAGTTGTAAGCCCAGCCGGTGCTCCCCCTGTGGGAGCACACTGACCACCAGGAGGCAGCTCCTGCATTGAGTGTCTGCCCCCTGGTGGTCAGTGTGCATCATAGTGACTGATCATTCTGCCATTTGGTAGATTTGCATATTAGCCTTTTATTATATTACATAGGATAAGTACTATTGCCATTTTAATGCTGTATGCCTAGATTCTCTCTTTCTCTTTCTCTCTTTTCTTCTTCTCATTACATTAGTCCCTTTAGCATATCTTTTAGTGCTGGTTTGGTGGTGATAAACTCCTTCAGCTGTTTTTTTGTCTGCAAAGCTCTTTATTTCACCATCTATTTTAAATGATAGCCTTGCTGGATATAGTAATCTTAGTTTTAGATCCTAGATTTTAATTACCTTGAGTACTTCATGCCATTCCCTATAGAGTGTCTCATGAGAAATAGCTGACAGCCTTATTAGAGCTCTTTTGTAGGTAAAGTTTGCTTTTCTCTAGGTGCCTTTAAAGATTCTCTCTTTGCCAAAACCGGTTTGGCTCAATGGATAGAGCGTCGGCTTGGGGACTGAAGGGTCCCAGGTTCGATTCCGGTCGAGGGCGTGTACCTTGGTTGCGGGCATATCCCCAGTAGGGGGTATGCGAGAGGCAGCTGATCGATGACTCTCTCTCATCGATGTTTCTAATTCTCTATCTCTCTCCCTTCCTCTCTGTACAAAATCAATAATATATATATATATATATATATATATATATATATATATATATATATAAAGATTCTCTCTTTGTCTTTAATTTTTGTCTTTTTAATTATGATGTGTCTGTACATGGGCCTGTTTGTGTTCTTGCTTGGGACTCTCTGTGCCTCCTTAACCAGTGTGACTTTTCTTTCATCATATTGGAGAAGTTTTCTGCCATTATTTTTTCAAACACATTCTCTATCCTTTGCAAACTTTATTTTCCTTCTAGCACACCTCTTATGTGAATATTGTTAAATGTCATCTTGTCCCAAAGTTCCCTAAAGCTGTCCTCCATTTTTAAAATTTTTTGTTTTGTTTTGTTTCTCTAATTGAGTGAATTTTTTACCCTGTCTTCTAATTCACTGACCGGATCCTTGACTTGCCCTAATCTGCTGTGTATTCCTTCCACTCTGTTCTTTATTAGTGCTATGTTATTTTTCATAGTTACTTTATCTTTTCTCATGCTGTTGAACATCTTTGCCATCATTATTCTCAGCTCAAAGTCTGATAAAGTTCTTTTCTATAGTTCATTTAGCTCTTCTTCTGAAGAATTTTCTTGTTCTTTCACTTTTCTTTTTGTCTCTCCATTTTGGCTCTCTGTAGTAGATGGATCTGCCATGCCTCCAATCTCTAGTGCAGGACAGTGTCCAATGATGTTTCTGACTAATTAGATCAGGAAAAGACTCAAAGCCTCCAGAGACCCACCTCTGCCTGCAGACTGATTGGATTCAGTCATGACTAGTCTCAGGCAATAGTCCACAGGTGGAATGAGAAATTTTCCAATAGGGTAGGGCAATTGCTTCTTCCTGGAGGCTAATTGTTAGTCTCAATCTCTTAATGGGCCTCAGAAACTCAACAGGATGGGGCAAAAGGTTTTCTAATAGGGTGAGGCCACTGTCTTCCTCACAAGCAAAAACTGCCTGAATAGCAAAGATCTACCTAAAAAAGTTGCCCTCCAAAGCGTGAGGAAATGACTCAGCACAGGAAACCGGGCTGTCTGCCTTCTGAGGTTTAACCCCAAAGCCTCCAACCCTGGCTTCTGTTCACAAAGCTCTAGTCCACTCTGCCCTCCCTCTACTGGAGCACAAGGTGAGTGGCTGCACACCGAATTGTGTGTGTTGGCCTTTTAAGAGAGTGACTGCATTTTCAGCAATCAGGCAGACAGCAACCCTGCTATTTTTCATTTTCTGTCCTTGGTTATCAGTGTTCTCTCCAGCTAGTCTTCATTTGATTGTTCAAAATGGTATTTATTTATTTATTTATTTATTTATTTATTTATTTATTTATTTATTTTAGTTGTAATTACAGTTTGGTCCAGGGAGCATGTCATTTACTTTTGAAAAATCCAATGTTAAGCTAAATGCTACTTAAACATATATTTTACCTTAATGGTAATTACCTACTTGTGGCAGGAAGGAGAGAAAGCCAAGTATTCTTGCCCACCAATTAGGCCTAACACAAGTGTCAGAACTGAGATCCAACAGTGGCTTCAACAGCCCATAAGCAGCAGCCTCATTCTTCCTTGGCCTGATTTTGTGACTGATGAGCAGACAAGCTTCTCCAAAGCCTCTTTCAGAATGTGAAGCATCTCAAGTGTCTGAACCTGTCCTGCTGGCCTGTTAATCAGGTTGGTCTGTGATCTTCCTGAATCCTGTACGAACACTTCAAGGAAAACCCAAAGGATATATAAGCTGAATTATGGTCCTCCTGCGGGGCATCCCAAAGCACTGAGGTGTCTGAAAGCTACAAATAGTTTCTGGGAAAAGAATCTTCTAAGAAATGTCTCACAGCCCTAGCTGGTTTGGCTAAATGAATAGGGTGTCGGCCTGCAGGCTGAAGGGTCCCAGGTTTGATTCTGGTCAAGGGCATGCACCACAGTTACAAGCTCCCAGACTATTTGGGGGCATGGGGTGGCAACCAACCGATATATTTCTTTCACATCAGTGTTTCTCTTTGTCTCTCTCTCTCTCTCTCCCTTCCACTCTCTCTGAAAATCAATGGAAAAAAATATCCTCAGATGAGGATAAGGAAGGAAGGAAGGACGGAAGAAAGGAAGGAAGGAAGGAAGGAAGGAAGGAAGGAAGGAAGGAAGGAAGGAAGGAAGGAAGGAAGGAAGGAAGGAAGGAAAAGGGGAATGGAGCACAGACAGAACAATTCTTAAAGTGGTCCTTGCTGAGATGGGTGAGACTATCTGACCCCCAGTGGGTGTCAGTGTTTTACAGCAGGTGACAGCTCAGAGACAGTGCTTCCACTGTATGGGAATAAATCCAGGGCACAGTGTACACATTTCACAGATTTTTATTGAGATTCAGGAAGCATCTGTGGGTGTGGTCACTGTCCCAGTTTACCCAGGCCTTCTGCTGCATGGGTGACAGCATTTGTGACTGTGTGGGTCACAGTCTCCGTAACTTCCTTTACCACTTTGTCCCCTGTCTCCTGGGCCTTCTTGAAGGCTTCGGCAATGGCTGTCAGCAAGAAAGAGGAATGTCTGGGTGAGCAAAGTGAACATTGGAGCCACTTGCTGGGCTGTGTCCCCTGCAGTGGCCTGTGGGATGTGGCTGTCTTCCTGGGCCATACCCTGGGGGAGCCCAGAGGGGTGGAGGGTAACAGAGCTCCTGAGGAATGTGTGCAGATTTTATTTAATTTCCCCAAACAGCTTGCATTTCTGACTTTAACTGTGAGTGAGCCTGAGCGCCTGCTCACAGGGTGGCTGCCTGTTCACACGCCTTTCCCTGTGAACTACTGCTGTATCTCCTGCCCAGCTCTCCTGAGTTATCATTTCCACTACAAACATTTCCCCTCAGCTTGTGGTTTTTTGGTTTTGTTTTGGCTTAGAGTATATATTTTTTATTATGGAAAATTTGAAGTATTATTGTCAGATTTATCTAACATTTCCTCGATGGTTGTTGGGTTTTCTGTCATAGTTTAAAAAAAAAAAAAAAAAAAAAAAAAAAAAAAAAAGACCTTCCCCACTCTGAGATTATGCTAAAATCTCCTATGCACTTCTCTAACAATTTAATAATTTCATGTATTTATATTTAAGTCCTTGATTCACTTGGAATTTATTTTGTTGTAAGGAATGAGGTACACTTATATTTTTTACATAGTTGTACTCACAGTACACATACACATACAAACATTTATGTAAATATGCATTTGTATAAGTGTATAATTTTGTCTTGAATGCTTTGTCCCAGCGAGTGTGGCATAGTCTCAACGCTCCACAGAGGCCTGTCGGGCTGGGGCCTGCCTTAGCAAGGTTGGCTCTGTGGCCTCAGAAGGTGTGATAATTGCATGCCATCCGAAAGGGTGCAGCATCTGGGTCAGGGTTAGTCAGAGAGCAGGCTGCTCCCAGCCCCTCGCTTCCCGCCTCCCCTCCTTCCCAGCCCCCACCATACCTTTCTCTCCAGCCTCCTTCGCGTGCTCCACTACCTCCTTCACCACACCCTCCACAGCATGAACTGAAAAGGTGAGACAAGCCCAGAGTGAGAGCCCGCTGGGCAGCTCTCCCTGCAGGGCTCAGGCAGCGCTGGGTGCCCTGAATGCAGCTCTGGGTGCTGCCCAGCCGGCTGGCTCAAGGAAAGGACCCTCAGCTTGCTTCGTGAGGAGGATGTTGTGGGGAGGGTCTGGCTGCTGGGAGAGAGGCTGAGTTAGGCAAACAGGAGCACAGAGCTCTCCAAGCCCCTCAGCCTGGTGCAGCCTGGAATGCCAGCGAGCAGGCCCTCCTGCCAGCTAGGATTGGTGCCAAGGCTGAGCCTGTTTCCCAGGTCACCACACCTCACAGGTGTGCTGCATGCTGCCTCCAGCCAGATGGAGACACAGGGATGCCAAATCCAGAGCCTCTTCCAGCAAAACCCATTCCCCAAAGCTGTCCTCCAGCAGCAGGGGGCTGCCTGCCACCTCGGAGTTGGTTTGAGTGTGAGTGCCAGCCTGCTAGGACCCAAGGAATGGGAGCCCGGGGCCCTGGCCCTGATCCTAAACGCCCTCCACTGCCTGGCTCCTCAACTATGAATGGGAATCCTGGGAACGCAGCGGAGGAGGAAAGAGGCCGCGCAACACAGGCAGAGTTAACCGATGAAGTGCGGACATATGTGCCATTTGGAAAGAGAAGAGCGAACTTAAATGTCAGCTGGGGGCCTGGATCCCCCGGCAGGGCTGCGGCCTGCATTGCGGGACAGCGTATTCCAGTTAGGCTGCGGGGACGGCAAGGCTCCCGGTTTCCAGAAGGAGTGTCCAAGCACCAGCTGCTCCCCTGGTGTGAACACCACACTCTGGTTCCAACAGACCAGGCCCTAGATCTCTGGGCAAGGCTGGGCTGCCCTCCATCCCACCCTACCCCTACCCCGGGCTTCCTCTGAGATGGAGGGGACCCTCCTGGCTCTACCCCAAACAGCCCTCCTCAGCTCCTGCTCCCTCTCCCCACCCATCCTTACGGGCCTGATTGGCCAGGGCTCCTCATGGGGTCAAGGCCTGCCCCAAACTGCGGGGGTCAGCTTCTAACAGGCCCAGGCAAGTGGGTCCCCAGCCCCCAGCCGAGCCCAGGTCCTTACCGGCCTCCTCCGTGGCCTTCTCCGTGCGGTGGGCCAAGCCCTCGGCAGCAAGCTTCCCCAGGCCTCCCAGCATGGCGCAGACCGTGACAACTGTGAAGGCCGAGGAGGATGCCCGGTGACTTTATAGCCGCCTCTGGGGCTGCCCTCCTGGCCAGGTCAGGGTGACTCAGCCAGACAGGCCGGGTGGGGCACCTAATGCCCTGGCTGTGACCCTGCCCTCTGGGACCCTGCACCCTGCCTTCTGGGACCATGTGAGGGTCAGGACGGAGCAGGACCAAGCCAGACAAGGTCAGCGGGGCGCGCTCCTCCGGCAGAGGCCCAGAGCCTGGAGGAAGAGAGGCAGCAGCTCCCCCAGCCCCCCTCCGGCTCCCCCAGCCCCCCTCCGGCCCCCCTCCGGCTCCCCCAGCCCCCCTCCGGCTCCCCCAGCCCCCCTCCGACCCCCTCCGGCTCCCCCAGCCCCCCTCCGACCCCCTCCGGCTCCCCCAGCCCCCCTCCGGCCCCCCTCCAGCTCCCCCAGCCCCCCTCCGACCCCCTCCGGCTCCCCCAGCCCCCCTCCGGCTCCCCCAGCCCACTCGGGCAGCCACAGGCCACAGCTCAGCCCGCTGCTCAGGGTCTCGGGGGCCTGCCAGGGTCGGGATGACATGGGTCTGGGGACCTGCGTGACCCCTTAGCCAAGAACACCGCGGAGTGGAGGCCGCTGCCTCCCCACTCCCAGAGCTCCGCTCCTCGCGTGGCGCTGCCCCCTCCATGCGGGGGGCGGGGGGGGGGGGGAGAGTAAGGCCCTCCGGGTGCCTTCCAGCGGAGGAGGCACATCAAGGCATCAGCTGCCTCCCCCCACCTGCCTCCCCATCCTCCCCATCCCACCCTCACCCCCCACCCCCTCACCGAGCAGCCAGCAGCTGCGGGGAGCAGCCCTGCACCTCGGGCCTGGTCTCTCGGAAAGGCCCTGTGAGGGCAGCAGTGCCCCCAGGAGGCCCCAGAGCAGTAAATGGGGCTGCACACCCCCTCGAGGGGCTTCGGGCCCTGGCAATTTCCCCAGGAAGCCGCTCCACCAGTCCCTGTGAGTCAGCCACAGGCTTAGGGGCCAGGCTGCCTGCCCAGTTACTCAGGACGGGAGAGATGCCCCAAGCCCGTGCCACCGGCTCCTTCTCTTAGTCAATAGCCCAACCCAAGCCTCAGTTTCCTCAACCGTAAAATGGGGCCAGCATGCCTTCCTGCCGTGTCACCAATAGTTGAGGTGATATGTGAAGCTCCTGGTAAACTCCTGTCCTCCGCCTCCCTGGCTGTGCCAGGGAGGGGCTGCTTGGCAGGGAGCCTGACTCAGCAGCGCCCGGTGGTGGGTGTGAGGCTGCCTGCCAGCCGGGGGCTGGGTCTTCACCGGGGCAGGAGTCATGGAGGGAAGGCCCTTCAGTGCAGGCCTGGGTTGGATTCTGAGGCTGCATCCCCCGTGGTGTTCCCTCGTCCTCGGAGCTGCCCTGGCCCAGGCCTTCCCAGCCCAGGTCCCCAGTGCTGCCCTCCCCCCTTCCTGGTGGTCCTGGGTGGACCCCAGGCTGTGGCCAGCCTGGCAGCAGGGGGACTGTGAGTGGCAGGGCCTCGGCCACAGGTGCCGCTTCCCTTAGCAGGAGAGGCTGGTCTTAAACCGCCAGGAGACGTCGTCTTTTTCTTCTTCTCCTCCTCCTCCTCCTCGTTCTTCTTCTTTTTTTTTATTTTATTATTTTTTAAAATATATATTTTATTGATTTTGTACAGAGAGGAAGGGAGAGAGATAGAGAGTCAGAAACATCGATGAGAGAGAGTCATCGATCAGCTGCCTCTTGCACACCCCCTACTGGGGATATGCCCACAGCCAAGGTACATGCCCTTGACCGGAATCGAACCCGGGACCTTTCAGTCCCCAAGCCGACGCTCTATCCATTGAGCCAAACCGGTCCTGGCTCGTTCTTCTTCTTTAATAAATTTTTATTGTTCATATTATTACAAATGTTCTTCATTTTTTCCCCTCCATTGCTCTCCTCCACCAAGTTCCCACCCCACCCTCTGTCCTTTCCCCACCCCCCATTGTCCTCATCCATAGGTGCACAGTTTTTGTTCAGTCTCTTCCCACACCCCCCCCCCACTCACCTTTTCACCGAGAATCATCAGTCCACTCCCATTCCATACCTCTGATTCTATTATATTCAACAGTTAATATTGTATATCAAATTTTTTAATTCCCTTGGTTTTTATCAACGAAACTTGTTGATAGTTATGTATTTGTTGTTCATAATTTTTATCTTTATTTTCTTCCTTTTACTAACGAACCCCCTTCAGCAATTCATATACTTCTGGTTTGGTGGTGATGAACTCCTTTAGCTTTTTTTTTTATTTCTGAAGCTCTTTAACTGGCCTTCGATTCTGAGTGATAGCTTTGCTGGGTAGAGTAATTTTGGCTGTAGGTTCTTGCTATTCTTCACCTTGAATATTTCTTGCCATTCCCTTCTGGCCTGCATGGTTTCTGTTGAGAAATCAGCTGACAATCGGATAGGTGCTCCTTTATAAGTAACTACCTGCTTTTCTCTTGCTGCTTTTAATATTCTCTCTTTGTCTTTTGCTCTTGGAATTTTAATTATGATGTGTCTTGGTGTGGTCCTCTTTGGATTCCTTTTGTTTGGGGTTCTGTGCACTTCCTGGACTTGTAAGTCTATTTCTTTCACAAGGTGGGGGAAGTTTTTCTGTCATTATTTCATCCAGTATGTTTTCGGTATCTTGCTCTCTCTCTTCTTCTGGGATCCCCATAATTCTGATGATGGTTCGCTTGAAGTTGTCCCAGAGGTTTCTTACATCATCTTCAACTTTCTGTATTCTCTTGTCTTCTTGCTTCTGTGGAAGAGTGTCTTCTGGCTCTTTATGTTCCAAATCTTTGACTTGATTCTTGCGATCTTCCATTCTGTTTTTAGGACTCCGTATAATATTTTTTTATTTCAGACAATGTATTCTTTACTTCTAGTTGATCCCTTTTCATATCCTCATAGGTCTCATTTATTTTATTGGCCTTTTCTAGGAAATTCTTGGAAAACCTTATAACTCTATATCCAATCGCTTCTTGTCCTCCATTTTTTTCATTTTTGATTTGTTTCCTTGTCTCGGCATTTTCGCTGCTTCCCTGAGTTAGTAGGGTGGCTTTGTGTGCTAAAGTGTCCTATATGGTTTAGTGGGTCAACCTCCCAGTTACCTGAGGTGGACACTCTTGGTGCACCCCTTTGTGGACTGTGTGTACAGCCTTTCTGTAGTTAAGTCTTGATTGTTGTTGTTATCACTGGGAGGAACTGACCTCCAGGCCAATTGGCTGTGAGGATCAGTTGTGTCTATGCCGGGAGACAGCCTTATTTGACTAGACTTGGAAAATTGCAAAAGCCTCTGTGCTCAGCTTGAATGGGGTGGAGTTTCAGGGTGGAGCCTACAGTCTTTGCTTCCTGTCAGCCCCACCCTATGAGGTTCCTGAGTCTCAGTGTTCCTCAGTATCCTTTGGTACTTGCTGAAGCACCTATGAGAGAAAGGTGCCCTCAAGTTTTGCCCGCTACCAGACAGTCTCTCCCCCAATAAGCCAGGAACTGGGGTTCAGTGCAGTTGGGAGTGGGGTTGGAAGTGGGGTTCAGTGCAGTCCGGAGCTTTTGTCTCCTTCCCACTAGGGCGATCCAGTGGCACAGTCCACAGACCGTCCTCTGCGTGCATTCACACCTCCAGAGCTCTGCCTTTCTCCGCTTGCCTGAGTTTCTGCCTTACATCCCAGATTCCCTCCGTATGAATCTGGGTCCCCAGGGTCTGGCCTAGATCTGGGGTTCAGTGCTGTCAGATCTGGGGCTCAGCACAGTCCAGAGCTTTTGTCTCCTTCCCGCTAGGGAACGGCAGCCAGGCACTCAGCCGCCCCCTCTTCTCCAGCTCCATCTTCTCCCCACGTGTGCACCATGTCTCCGTACCTTAGGCTTTTACAGCTCCTCTGATTTTTTTCTCTTTCCTTCTCATTGTAGAATTTCCATTCAGTCAACTTTCCTGTAGTTCTGGATAATGTCCATTTTGTATTTTAGTTGTATTTTTCAAATTGTTGTGCGAGGCTGCAGTTAGACGTTTACTTATGCCGCCATCTTGGTTTCTCGGGGGGGGGGGGGGGGAGACGTCTTCTTAAGAAAAAGAACATAACACTGCTACTCTCACAAGCTTCACAAATATACAGGCTGGGGCAAAAGTAGGGTTCCGGCTATTCACATGGAAAAGAATACAACAACAAATAATAACACAAGAATAGACCCTCGTGCTCACAACTGTAACCCGACTTTTGCCCCCGTGTACGATGGCCCTGTGGACTAGGGGGCCGGGGGCCAGGGCCCTGGGGAACAAGCAGGCCTGATGACTCTGTTCTCTCCCAGTTACAGCCAAGTACCAGAATGTTCTGCGCAGGGCATCCGGGCAATGCCGCCTTGGGTCGGGGACTCCTCGGTCATGACTGGTGGGAATTGGGCCAAGACCCAGAGGGACGTTCCCTGGGCCCATCAGAGCCCCTTTCCTCTTTGCTCTGAGGTTGTCTGGGTCCCCACCCTGCAGGCTCCTCTTTGTGACCTTTCCCTCCAGGCCCCACCCTGAGATGCCCTCAACAGTCCCTCTCCTCAGGAGCTCCCCGGCTCCTCACAGGCCCCTGTCAGGACCCAGCCACTCAGCAGACCTGAGCCCATGCCAGCCAGAGCCCGCCCACCACAGCCCGCAGCTGCTGACCCACCACGTCCTCTCCCGAGTCTTACCGCACCTCCTGGTTCCATCACACCATGGCCCTAGATCTCCGGGCAAGGCTGGGTCCAAAAATTCCCAATGCCACCAGGGGAAAGCAAGAATCCTCGAGAGGCAAGCTACTCAGGGCCAGACCGAGTCCAGGTCTCAGTGCGTTAGCCCAGGTGCAAGCCCACTGGCCTCAGCTCCAGCTGAGACCACCGACCTGTTCTGGGAGCCCAGCCCGTGGTTCCCTGAGGGTGGACTTTCCAACTGGAGAGCAGGGAGCAGGCCTGGACCCTCCTGACCAGGACTGGATTCCTGGCAACTCCCACAGGAATAACATTACCTCCCAGACACCTAAAATTAACACCAAGTAAAACTGAATGTAAAGCAAT